CTAAGTCGCAATTCTGAGATACTAAGTCGGAATTCTGAGTTGCTAAGTCGCAATTCTGAGATACTAAGTCGGAATTCTGAGTTGCTAAGTCGCAATTCTGAGATACTAAGTCAGAATTCTGAGATAGCATAGCGCGTTTTTTTTTTCCTCCCTGGCGGAAACGGGCTTCCATAAAATTACTATCTTGCAATAATATTATTTTTTTACCACATTCTAACTTAAATGTTAGTAAATAAATATAAAATGTATCTGTGGCACCATGGGTTGTTAGAAATTTCAGTAGTGTGTCAAAACCAAAGTGCTCTTCATCTTCACTAACCATTAACTCTCCATAAATCTCTCTATTCAATAACTAGGTTTCTTCATAAAACAAGCCCTTTCTGGACCAACAACTCATACTACCCCCAGCAGATAACACAGGACACTGACAGATCTAAACGCAGTACCCCTTAACCTCCTCAGCAATGACAAAGCTTCTTGTTACTATTTTAACCAAGAGCAAATGGAGATCTGTTATATCAACAACTCAAGACTCACATATTTCAGATAATGATTTTACCAGTAAGACAAACATAACAGGGGATAGTCTGTATGTTTCATGTTAGCTTTGTGTATATTTGTTATTGATTACAAGTGCCTTCCTCCTTTACCTGCATGACATCAACCAATCATGTGACAATGTCATGGGGCTCAGGTGAGTGTGTTTTTATTATTTTTATGGCCTTTGTAACTTCAACATTACAGTAGCATTTAACATATTTTAATACTTCTTAATGCTGACAACATTTCTGAAAACAAGACAGTTTTAGAAAGTCCGTTTTCAGTAGAAATCTTGTTGAATTCTTAAGTTGACTAAATCAGTAATCAGTGCACAAATCAGTGTACAAAGGTTTTTACCTCTTTTTAATTATTTCTTTATTCTAAATCTGCTCATAGCTGGTAAACAAATATTATCTCTATAAAGAGCTACTGTATGCAATCTAAAATACATAATGATAAACCAAAACAGATACTGATGAATAATATTCTCCATCTAGCATGATCTAGATAAAATGTGGCTTCATAAAAGCTATGTGCAGTCCATCTGTTATTATTTATTAACAAACAATTACAATGAAACCAAAGTTGCCTACCTGTGGCAACTATAATTCCAGGGGCTGAATATTTGCTTGCAATATTGCCAGAAGTGTAAGGATTATCAGATACCTGAAGATGTAGGTGCAAAGAGCAGTAAGGCTGAAAAAAAAAAGATAAAGAGAAAAGTCAGAATATAATTACGGTGCATTTATCAAACACTCAGTCCTCATTAGAGTACTCAATACTTTCATAGTTTAAGCTCATAGAGTTACATTAATTCCTATTACATTCTCCATCTCCAATGCACTCCCCCATTGGGCGTCCATAACATTACTTTCTATTAGAATAACCTTTACTGACACACTCCTCATTATAACACGCAAAATGCCAATGGCAAGAACATATTGCGAAGAGTGTTGAGGGATTTTATAATGCTTCTGGGTTTTCTAACTAATTGAAGTGGTATTATGCCACAAAATTGTGCTGTTAATTTGTTTATCAAATGGTGATTATCATTTTATGCAGTAATGTAGGTTAAAGAAGTTCGTGTTAGGTGGAACTCATTTACAAATAGCAATGATTGTTAGTTTTATGTAGACTTTTTCCAAATAGAACATTTTAAAATCTTTTGGCAGTATACTGCATCAAAAACAGAAATTAATTTAATTGAAGTGCTTCTAATATGTGTAAAAGCCCTTATCCCTTAGTGATTTAATATATTGCAGTTGTATATAATGTACTGTATAACGTGCAAAGCCTTGCAAAAGTATTCAGACCCATGCGCAGTTTTCAGAATTTGTTGCTTTAAAGCTTGTTATCATAACACTTTGAAGTAGCAAGTAATATACACAACACATCCAAAAAATAAATAAAAGAAACAAGTAAATAGATAATCTGAAAGAAAAATAGAAAAGTCATGATTGAATAAGAAAGTAATCAACCATGTGCTATGGCAAACCTACATTTATTAAATCACCAAATTATTTGAGTTGCTTCTGTTTGTTTGGAATAACAACAGTTCTCACAATTTCATAATAAAAAAACACCAGTTCTTGTTAGGTACCTTGGTTAGGCAGATAATTTCAAGCAAAGCTCAACCACAAAGATCAAGGAAGCTTTGCAAAGCTGATAAAGGGATAAAGTAATTAAAATGCTCAGAAGGCTACAAATATACAGTACATGTACTGTATACAGTATACTTTATATGGAATCTTTATATCCCAGTGAGCACAGTTTGCTTAATCATTAAGATATAAAAGGTGCATCATATCACCTTAACATTTCCTAGATTAGGCCCAGATGTCCAAATTGAACAGCTGAACAATGATAAAAACAGTGAATAACAGCCCAACAACAACTTTGAATTGGCTAAGATGGAAAATAACCTTGCCTTTGTGGTAGAGTGTAAATGTCCTATCTTGCATGGAGTTTGCAACAAAGCACCTGAGTGATCTTGCAAAAATGTGGCAACAGGTGTGGTTCTCAGATGGTCTGAATGTCAAACATTACATTTGGTGCATACACAACAAAGGACATTGAACATTCAATTCAACACCTTTCCTGTTGTGAAGCATGCCAGTGTCAGCATCTCGCTGTAGGGATGCTTCTCCTGTATGGGACTGGAAAGCTTGGTAGGATTGAAGGAAAAATTAATGTTGCAAAACACACGTAAATAATACTGAAAACCTGCCTCAGTCTGCTAAAGACTTAATATTGGGGTGAAAATTTACCTTTCAGCAGGACAATTGGAGGAGATTTATTCAAATATACTGTACATGTGACTGCAATTGCTACTTCTGCCACATATTTAATTCATAGGTCTTAATGCTTATGCATTTATTTTTTGCTGACATTAACCTATCTAACCCTTAGAAGTCAGTTTGAGTTTTCAGGTTTTGAATAAAATATTAAGTTAAAAACATGCATGCATCATTTTGTAATTTCACAAAATAGGACGGTATGGGAAGAGTCTGATTTGTTTGCAAGTCACTGTATAGATATATCATATTTTTTATGGAAATTAATGTTAATAAGCCCATGCCCTTTCACAACACTGAGTGGGGCAGAAACATCTAAGGAATCTCCCTAATCTGCCTTCACATATACAGTACAGCACATTAAATGTTAGCAGCCTTTAAAAGTTAGACATCACGCTGATGAGCCCTAATGAGGGCTGTCCATGACTGCTGACTTACTTTATACTTTATGCAAAAGGATGAATTGAAACTCTATTTAGATTCACTCCAGTGTTATGAAACAGCAGGAGTTAATATCCATTCTGATAATTAATTTTATAATTCATAATTCATAACAACTTCATGATTTTAAAACATACCGAAAAGTACTTCAGGCACTACTGAAGTTTAGCATCCACCTTAATAATATACAGTACAGACTATGTGCCAAGACCTTTACTACACAGCACAGCAGGTAAAGAAGAGAAACTGCTAGACCAGTTGAAATGAGTGTAGAGACTGTAGAAGTATAAAGTGAATTTGGCCAGAACACCAAGGTTAACACCACTGTCCTTATGAGTGCCATGCGATTTTTTCCGTAGTTGGGACATCGGTTTAACATCTCTTATCTTATCTCTTAACATAAGACTTATCTGCAGCATTTTCCTGGCTGAGGCACTGAGTTGCCATAGTTTAGACATGTTTTGGGTTGTGGGAATATGGAACAGGGGCAGCACAGTGGTTAGCATTGTTACCTTTTAATAATAATAATAATAATAATAATAATAATAATAATAATAATAATAATAAT